TGTCGGAGTATAGGTCCTAAAACCCTAACCCTAATTTTTTAGGACTGGCTGTTCAGATCTTTGGGTCCCTGCACCCAAAAGCCTAGGGTTTAGGGTTTAGGGTTTAGGAAGGTCAGTTCGTTGAGTTTTCAGGGGATTTCCCCAAGGTCTAAACCCAAAGCTAAGCCAGAGTTGAACCGTCGAAACCCTAAACCCTTAAGCCCCGAATTCCTGAACGCTCAGTTCCAAGATTAAAAATTCTACGCCTGACGATGCCGAGGCCTACACTGTAAGACCCTAAAATCCCTAAAGCTCAAGAGCCCTCCTGCGAGCGCTAGCACCGACAGGGAGTGCAACACCCTTTTTCATCGAAGGGTACATACATCCTGAACTATAATGATAGTCCTTCCTATTTTCTCAAACAGGGATTCCGTACTTGAGGAGTATCCTTCAACCTTTATCTCACTCCCAAGCCTCCCCTGCCTATCTCCCGCAGCCAGATAGCTAGACTTCGATGCAAAGACCCGATGGCAAGGAATAGGAGAGAGTAGTATTACCTATAGGCCCCCAAGTGTTCCTTTTGGGGATTAGCTTATAGGATTCTAGATATGAACCACAAAAAGGAACTACTTAGGGGCCTATGGGTAGGCCTATAAGATTGTTAGACATAGGGCTATGTGGCTTGTGTTTTTAAGAATCCCCTTCGATCCCCGATACCGCAAAACCCGCAACGCTTTTCTGCCAAGATCATGCACGCGTCACTCGTGCGCCTGGGCTGATTTGTTTATTGTGGTTTCGTATTTCCCCTAGATGCCCACTTCCTTGTTTCTACCTGTAGTAGTAGTAGGTGATTGGGCCATGCTTACGACCAGGTTCATTCAGCACTTTCCCAGGCAACTCTGCTTCTAGGGCTGATGGGGTAGAACCCATGGGTCCGATCTGAGATTTCGTCTGAGGGGGTGGCTTGGCAGGAAATTAGCCTGCAGCTTGATTAGATGCTCAACGTTTCGGTCAGGTGGGGCTTGGCAGCAACGATTACCCATAGGCTCCAAAGTAGTTCCTTTTTGGGGATTACCTTATATCCTAAATATAAACCACAAAAAGGAACTACTTTGGAGCCTATGGGGTAATGATGACTCTTGAAGGAACATAGGACTCAGCAAGCCACAGCTGTGGTCATAGGGTTCTGCGCACTATGGAATGATAGGATGCTTACTCGGTCCCATGAGCCTCTATTAGGTGCTGTTTAAGCTCATGGCTGTGGCTCTCCAGGATGTAAGGCACAAGCTCTTTCCTAAACCTGTTTCCTGGAGCCACATCCCGGAAGTTCGGGTTTAGGGTTTAGTCGGTACGTCTCAAAAGCCCCCAGCGCTTGAGAAGGTGAGTTTGAAGGCTTCATCCTTGAAAGCTGGACCTACCCATATCGAAAGGACTCTGGCAATGTGACGATGCCTCTAGTTGATTGGAAGGGGCCAGCCCCTTCTGTGTTACAGTTTGTCTTCATGGATTTCTAGAACCGAAAGAAGCGAAACCCATAGCAAATCCCGCAACTCTAAACCTCAATACGCCAAACCTGGTTGGGTGCGACACATACCCCAAACCTTGAGTCTGAAGCCCTATCCCCCGTTTCCTAGAATCCCAAGCCCTGAATGCCAAATCCGGAACCAAATCTAGAACCGTCTCAGCCCTGAAGCCCTTCAAGGTCGTTGCAGATGATCCAGATCTGCAAGGCACCGAAAACGCCCCTCGGCTTCCTGGGCATCAGCATGGGCCTACCCATAGGCTCCATCGTAGCTCCTTTTTGGGACTACCTTATCGGATCCTAAATATAAGCCACATAGAGGAACTACTATGGGGCCCATGGGTACGCTGCAGCTCTACCTGCGCGACCTCCTCCTCCGATAAGCAAGGCTTTGGAGTCCAGGCTCTGTTGTTGGCATTTAATAGTTTTACGGGATTAGGGATGTTTAGGGTTTAGGGTTTAGGGCTGTTTAGGGTTTAGGGATGTTTAGGGTTTAAGGTTTCGGTGTAGAAGTCATGTGTTTCGGTTTGGGGAATTCGGGCTTTTGAGGTACCGTGCTGGTCGGACTTGCGTGTGCTTCCGGGAAACAGCCCCGAGTCCAGTCCCCAAAACATCGAAATGCAACCCTAAATCTACACACACACACACACTCACATTGCTTGCTGTGTGTATAGATGCGTACATTTGTTACATATTATTCAATTTTTTGTCTACGTATACGTGAATTTTTTTTGTATTTATACACATAGCGCACACACACACACAGGCACCGAATGAAGAGCCCAAAGCCAGGATCAGGAGCAGTTCATGCGCATCGACACTTCGAAAAACGGCTCCTTTGATGCCAGCGGCGTAGGGTTTAGGGTTTAGGGTTTACGCCAAGGGCGAAATAGCGTTCCTTTAAGGCTTTCGGGGCTCCTTCTGAAGGGATTCATAGTGGTTCTGTGAAGGTGAATTATTGTTTTTTCTGTTATAAGATGTGCTTAGAGTACCACGCCCTGAGCCTCCGGGAAGCCCCGCATGTAGCAACTAGATCCTTTTGTGTGATATGATTTTGCGATTCAGGGACTGTTGTCTGGTCAGACTCCTCCTCGTGCTGTGGTGCAGAATTTTTGCCGGGCCTTGTTGGTGGTCGTTGTGCAGGGTCTATACATTGAGTTTCCTTGTTTTCTGATTCTGCACCAGTTTTGGAGACTGCACCTGCGCTTAGTTGCTTGTCAACGGCTGTGAGTATGAAACAGAGTAGTTTAAGTGCTTGTTTATCGCGGTTATAAATTAAACATTCAAACCATTCCAGCTAGGACAGACTGGGAGTCTGTACAGTCTTTGCTCTTACCTGTATTTCACAAGACATACAGGGTTCAGGATTGAGGGTTGACAGACATCGAGAGCTGTCAAAGGAGCTTACAGTGAGCTTCCATGATAAAGTGATAAAGCACGCTCATCATTGACTTTATTTCCTTATCCTGATAGCTTGACTGCATACTCAATTTATTGCCATCATAAAACCCTAGAAGTCTAGGACCCCCCCCTTCCCAAAAAAAAAAATCTTAATCATAAAGCCCTTCCAGGACCGCCAAAAAGCAAGCTCCAGAGCCTCGCCACACGCCGAAGGTCACCTATCCGCTAAAGAGGTGACAGCCATCGCCCTGACGCATGGCCTCTTTGACAGCGGTTTAGGGTTTAGAGGGCTTAGGGCTTAGGTTGTAGTTACGGCCTATAGGTTTTAGGCTTACCCATCGGCTCCCTAGTAGTTCCTTTTTGGGGATTACCTTATAGGATCCTAAATACAAACCACAAAAAGGAACTACTTAGGGGCCTATGGCTAGGTGGTAAGGTGAAAGGGCGTACGGAACCTGCGAGCTTGGAGTTCGTGGTTCCGGGAAGCAGGGAAACGAGTGCCCATTGACGAGGTACTTGGCTTACGGTCCTACTTTTTGGGGGTTTGGGGGAAATGGAAATGGGGGGGTAGATGTAGGGGTTTGGGGAAGTGGGGTATAGGTTTGTTTTGATTTCGGGCTGAGGGAGCTGAGGAGATCAGGGCTGAGGGCTTTCAGCCGTAAACTCTAAACCCCCGATACTTGAAAACCCTGATCGTAAACCCTGCACCCCCCCCCCCGCCCCAATCTAACGATGAAACGTCCCGCTGTCTCAATGAGACTGTTGAGCAATATCCAGCCCCGTCAACTTTTGCGATGCTCTGCTAAGCTTGAAAGCTTGGTGTACAACCACCGCCTTGCTTTGAACCTTGTTTGCTCCCTCCGAAAGTGGTGAAAGTCTGCACCGACTCGAAACTCCCTGCCGAAGAGCCCAAACCCTCTACACGAAAGGACGTGTCACACTGCCAAGTGGACCTTTGAGTCAAGAAATGCAAGAGGCAAAACAAAACAAAAAGCGAAACGGAATGCCCTTGGACTGTATAAAACCCTGAGCTCTCGATGCTCTAGGATTAAATCTTGGATCTGGATCCTGAAATCCACAGTCCCAGCTAAAGTATCGACATGGACCCGTAACACAAAGTCCTACACTTGAAGACCCTCTTGTTACAATAGTTGCATACCCGACCCCAAGCCACGATCTTTGACGGGAAGTAGGCCTCCTACAGACATCTCAGGTTTAGGATTGAAAGCTCTAGGTTTGGAGTATGTTCTGAAACCTATGGCGGAGCCCGGAAAGCAGCCGAAAGAGGCTCTCCTACCCCAGGAAATTATGGCAAGAAGCCTCAAGCCCGGGTTTAGGGTTTAGGCTTTAGGGCTTACGGCATGGGTGTAGAGCTTGAGTTCGCGAGGATCTTTGAAGCTGGCCGGATTCGACACAGGTGCACAGGTGACGGTGGCCAGCTCCATCAAAGCAATTCAATACGTGAGCGCACGGCTGGGGGAGGCGCCGCAACTAGCCTTTGGGGTTGTGGGCTTTTTGGATCCCAAGCCTGTGCCATGCACTGCTTCGAAACCCTAAACCCTAAACCCTGAACATCCCTGAACCCTAGACCATTCATGTTGGTTCAGGGAAGGGTCGTGCAGTGCATGGTTGCAAGGGAAAGCTTGAAACTGCAAGCAAAGGAGCTACTCGGGACGATGATTCTCAGTAAAGGTTGTTCAGTTCAATCTAGGTAGATGCATGCATGCATGCATGCATGCATGCATGCATGCACAGGTTTTGCGTGTTTTTTTATGTACGCATGGCTTTATGTACTTATTTTTGCATGTTTGCATGCATGCGAGCACGGGTGTATGTGTGTTTGGGAATGTATACATGCACGGATTGATGGAATGATGTTTGTTTGGTTGCAGTTTTGATTAGTGATTCGTGTATGTATGCATGCATGCATCGATGCACNNACCTAGGTATGCATGCATGTATGCATCTGTGCACATTTTGTGTGAAGAATGCCTTTCAATAAAAGACCGTCTATGAGGTCTACAGCGCTGAGTCCGAAAGTCAACCAGCTCTCAACTCCTTAAACCCTTAACTCCACCAGACGCTGCCAACAAAAACGATGCAGGACGCTTCGGGTCAGCCAGAGCAAGGCAAGATGAGAAGAGCGAGATCTCGCGCCGACGTCAACGTCGAGGCCCCCCTTAAAGTCTCGGGGTTCATAGAGTCATAGAGTTCAGTGGCTAAAGTTTAGGGGTTTAGGATTGCAGGTTTCCGGGTTGGGATTTATGGTTGTTGGGCTTTTAAGGCGGTTACGGAGTTACGGTTCGGGATTGTGGGATTAAAATGTAAAGCTCGGAGCTTGGCTTTGTGGCCTGCAGAGTGCCGGTTGGTGGGNNTCAAATGAAGCAGGTGTTTGGGGACTTAGGGTTTGGGGTTTTAGGGTTTAGGGGTTTAGGGTTTGGACAGTAGTGGCTGAGTGTAATATGTGGCTACTTCCGAGTATGGCTGGGTGTGTACACTTTGTCTTTTTGCTTTAGCCCGGGTACCATAGGCAGTGGGTGCTAGAGTTCCATTGGTGGTTTCGGATGCTAGGGCCGTGTTGCATGTTCATGATTGATGTGCTTGCTGAAAAATAGACTCCAACTAAACAGAACCAAGCCTTGTGCCCGAAGTCGAAAATGCCCGGAACCCTGTGGTCATGAACAGATGACATCTGCGATCTATATTGCACCCAAATTATAGAATGTCATGGCCTAGGCCCTGAACTCATAACCCTAAACAGTGTGTCCGACTTGCAAGAGTCCAAACCAGTAAAACAGCTGGTTTGAGTCAGGGCGAGCTGGATCTGCGCGGCTTCCTCTGCCTCCGCCGCAGACTCGGAAGCTAATTTTGCGGTTTAGGTTGGCATTTGGGAGTGGGTTGCTACTGCTTACTACTACTACTACT